TGATTAGAATTTTAATATGGATTGTTACACGGGTGAATAAAGTTTATAATTCCAAAAATGTATAATATACCATGCCCACAGTTAATTCAGAAAAAACAGAATTTCCTAGGTAGGTCTTGGAATTATCAGATTCGTCATATGTTCCGTATACCAGACTAGACCTCAAATTGAACATAGTAACAGCTTGGAAGACTGGAAAGAGGCGAAATAAACCGAGTAGTGAACAATGTACAGAGGACAGTCAGACCTTGCTAACAAAATAACGGACAAGGTTTTGAGCATTTACTGTGATTTACCTCTGCTTATTTATGATTATGGCTATGGTATTTATATTTCGTGTTCATCAATCACAACACCTTTTCATTTCCTTATAATTTTCATCCCAATACCAAATTTATGACCAACTAAGGAAATATATTACTGAGTTTAGGACTAAACGTACTAAATTCCAATATCTCGTCCATATGAAAAAACAAAGCTGGTGATGGAAGTCAAAAGAAGAAAATTTGACTACGCCATCTTGTAGAGGAGAAAAAGTGACAACATGTAAGTTACTTAGAAACCCATCTTAAGAAAAATCAGGAAAAATAAAGAATGATTTTGCGATAAATCTGGTATACGAAATAATTTTAAGGCCTACCTAAGAAGTTCTCTATTTGTGAAATAACTAAGGTTTGGCAATATGAATATATGGCATTTTTAGAATCAGATGGCGTCCATAAGAAAAAATAAATTTGATGCTGGAGGGCAAGAGACGAAACGTCATATTGAAGTTCCAATTATGACATCTCGAAAAGTAGAAAAAGTGACAGTGTTATTGTGTAATTTATTTTGACATCCCACTACAAATAATGTCAATAAAGTCAGGAAAAACTAAAACGATTTTGAGAACATTTGTTTTTTCGGTCTCCCTGCATTTTGTTATTTACCTCAAAACTCAGATTTGCCCCCATTTAAGAGGCTCTTACCCTTTTTAAGTCCCAATGGTAAAGGTCGAATTTGAAACACCCGGTAGTATGTAAGAGAATTAAATAAAGACAACTTATCATTATATTTCCCATCATTTTTTCCTTAGTGAATACTTTTCAAGTTTTGCATCGATGCCGGATTTACTGCGTAAATCACTAAAAATTATTCCAAATCCATCTCAACTTCCACCATTTGGATTAACCCTCGATCAGTAAATACTTCTCTCGTGCCGCTTCACATTCTATCCTGCCGGCGTCACCGCCGCGCGGCAAACAGCGGCGTCGGGCGTCGGATGGCGGGCGTCGGGCGGCGTCACGATCGTCGCGCAGCCGCGTCCGGGAACAGAAGTTAAAGACGCCGCGATGTTGGAGTTGGAGTTGCTCCTCTGCCCTATGATCCCGCCCTCGAGCTCATTTACTGTGACCGGCTCAAAGCGCGAGGTTGTTTCCCGCTCTTTTTATGATCTGTGATATGGTGGTGTAGTGGTTGTTGGAGAAAACAAGGTTTCGAAGGAGTCAACAGGTTGGTATTCAATTTGCTTTATTAGTTTCAAAAGAATGGAGTGAGGTAGATTGTCTCTATACTTCCTACGCCATCGTTGGAGTTTTCAAAGAAAAGGGATCAGTCAATCGTTTCAAAAGGCGGAAAGGTACGATGAATCTTCAACTTGTGCATATCAAACCGTATAAAGCAAATCTACCATATTTCTGTTTCCATGGCAGATGTAGGGAAAATATGTGTGACTAACAGGTGCATAGTACCACTGAGATCAGCAGCTTTTTAATAACAGGAATTCTTTCACTGACATCAAAGAGGCAACAATTAATAATAATAATAATAATGAGTCTTTATTAAGGAATACATTACATATTTATATAATGCTCCTTAAAAGGCGGAGCCTAGAAAATATCTACTCTACTCGGAAAATGATTAAAATAAAAAATTGAATGAAATAAAACAGGCTCAGAGAGTAAGACATTAGAGCGATTTTAGATAACAAAAATTATACATGGCTTTAATTAACAACGCAACAATTAACAAAATTAATCCCATACTGAATCAAAAAAAACAGAGAAAAAGGAAGATCAAGGTGGAACCAAAAATTCAAGTCGTTTTTTGAATCTGAATGGATGTCATCATTTCTTCCGCGAAACAATAATTTCCTATATACGTAAGGGGGAGACTGCGAAGTTATTATTTTATGTATCATATTAGCAACTGAGTATCTATAGATACATATCGTCTATTCTCAACCATTTTAGCTCAATTATTTTTCCCGATGTTGAATCATATTTTTTAAGATTGTAGATAAATCTGTAACAGCTATTTTGAAACTTTTGTAATCTATTTTTCGATGCAGCATCCAGACATGGATAGTAAATACTAAATAGCAATACAATAAGCAATAATAGGGAATATAAGAAGTTCACATATTTTTTACCGTGTTTTAAAATTCAGAATAAGCTTATTGCAGTAAAATCATTTCAAAATCAAGTAGCATTTTTTAATGTAACGGATAGATGTGCATTGAAGCGCGGGGAGCTATCAAACGATAACCCTAAATTTTTAGCTGAATCCACTAATGGCAATGAAAATCCACCAATTTTTATATCAAGTTCTGGCAGTAAATTATCACGACTATTGTTTGAACAAAAAAGCATAACAGAAGACTTAGAAGAATTTAATTTCAAGTCATTGTTCTTGGAGAAATGTATCTTTAACTGCTTGAGAGGCATTGGATGGAGCGAAAGCTTTCAGCAATTGTGTGTCATCAGCGTAAGCTACAATTGACGAATGGGAAACAAGAAGATGGATGTCTGACGTGTACACCAGAAAAAGAATAGGTCCAAGAACGGAACCTTGCGGCCCGCAGGAAGTAATAAAACATGGGTCCAAAAATTTGTCATCTACAGATACGATTTGCTGGCGTCCTGAAAGATATGTTTGGAAAAACTGAAAAGACAAACCGGTAAATGTCTTAGAAAAATCCAGCAGTATGAGTGTCGAGGCATTTCCATTATCACATTGCTTGATAATATCATCTGGCACTTGCGCCAATGCGGTCACCGTAATAGAACCCTCCCGGAATTCGGACTGGTACTCAGGAAGAATATTATTAGCTGAGAGATATTCGCACATTTGATATTTGACTATTTTTCCTAAAAGCTTTGCTAATACCAGAATTAGTGTGATAGGATGCAGATCAGAAAAGTGTTCGATTGTTTTCCTTTTGGGCAAAGTTTTAATCATAGAAGTCTTCCAAGCATTGGGGAAGCACCCAACCTCCAAGCAGCAGTTTATCAAACGGGTGAGCCGAAGCCAAATAGTCGGAAGGCAGTGTTTCAGCATAGTCGCTGAAACACCGTCAATACCAGCTGCATTTGAACGTAGAAACATAACTATGTCAAAGACATCATGCTAGCTAACAGGTATAAATTGAAATGATATATTTTCATTGAATTTTAAATGACCGATGGAATCAGCTGTATCAGGGAAATTATTTGGAGGGGAGAATATAGAGCAGAAATAGTTGTTAATAGCATTGACATCTTTAAATTTTTGCAGGAATGTCGGGAGTACTTTTACTTGTTAGGGCCGGTAGAGCCAATTGCTTTCCAGAGTGACTTATTGTCTGAATGAATTTACAATCATCTACCGCATACAGCTTCTAATCTACAATTTTTATCCCCTCCAAACAATGTTTGAAAACCAGCAGGTATCTCTGAAACGTGCTTTCAGCCACCTCTGAATCAATTTTCAAAATCTGCGACTACCTAAGCGATGAAAGTTTTAAACTCGCGATAATGTTCGAGCTTAGGTTCACAAGTTTTCTGTTGCTCAAAGATATCTACATTAACCAAGTCCGTGTTTCTCATTTATGTCTGTTTGTCAGTCCGGGCCAGTCATCATTTACAAAACCATCGTAAAACGCTACTTAATAGTGGTACGCACTATTAATATCAAAATATTGCTAAAATATATAAATATTTCTCCTGTCCTGTGTCAGTGACGACACCACCGCAGACCAGTTTGTTACCAATTACACAGTCGGCAGTGGGCTCCATGCCGATGCAGCATCGCACCGTGCAGATAACGCCAACGATTGAACGAAGTTATCTCTAGTTATTATACCGACTTCTATCATTTAATTTTTCCGTTGTTACCGGGCTCAGAAGCTTCTTAATGACAGAGTTTCAACCCCTACAAAAATTTTCCTATCAGGAGCCTCTGAAACGTCAAAAAACGAGTTTAAGCGTTTTTTATTTTTTGACGAGTTTTGCCTCTACCTCCGCCACTAGACCGACTTTCAAAAACTACAAAACTCTTTCATCAAAATCCGAGCGGTATTTCTCAAACTATATAGGCGGTTATAAAATCAGTGGACAGACCAACAGGCAGACACACCGACTGAAATGAGTGACGTACATGTCATATGATATCCAAAAGACAATTACTAGACCTCCTTGTCCAGCGACATAGGAAATAAAATTGGCTAAGTCAGTTGTTGTTGGATAAAAAACCTTGCGCAATCAAAAATGGGGTCTCTTGGCACTGAGCCTTCGTGGTAGTCTGAGAACTGAAGAAAAAATTGTGAAAAGTTTATCTATCAGAACAAAAGAACCTTTACATTATCTTCCTATGTCAAATTGATAAAAAAAGAATAGCTCTCAGAGCTTTACCGGTCGGGTTACTTGAAAATTCAAAACGGGGCATAGAAATTAAAAATTTTGAGACTTCTGACAAAGTGATATTGGTTAGTTTTTAGGTTATCCACCATCATGTTTCCAAATTTAGTTATTAATTTACTTATTGAGCGGAACTTTCCCATTGACAAATAACTGAAAACATTTGCTAGAGCTGCTTGTAATTAAAAAATCTAGGCTAACCACTAGCACTCTGTGTCTCAATGTAGAACCGTCTGCAATCCCAACGAGCTGAAACGTCTAAAAACAATCCCTCCGTTTCAGATTTGTAGTGATCAGAGAGAGCAGCGCGAAAAGTGAAAATCGCTTTCCGTCGGACATCCGAACATGGACTGCACCGTCTCACAAGCGCAGCCTGCTTCAATTCTACCGTCACTCCATGCTTCCTGTTCGCCAGAGCAGCATCCCTGTCATCCCAGTGGTAAGTTACATTTTAGTTATAGTATTTCGATGTCTAGGTGAAACCGCATAAAAGCTTTGACATTGACGAAAGATAACTCTGTCATAGGCGTCAGAGTTTTAATTGATTGGAGGTCAATATTTCAGTATTTATTTACTATTTCCAGAAGGTAGTTCCAGATATCACGACGCAGGTAGGTAGGTTAATCAGTTGTTGGAGTATTGACGGTACTATATTATCAAATTGAGATAAAAATGCTTCTCAGGGGCAAAGTAGATTTATTCTAAGCCTATGTACAGTATATAGGATGTCTCAAGAAGAACTGCAGCGATGCAGTACTCAAAAGGCTGACGTGATGCAGTACAGAATATCCTGGTGGTCTGCGCTTACAGATCGGCACGGGTATTATGTAAAAACCTACAAAACGTCAAAAAAGACCTATAAAATGTCAACTTGCAGACTAGTTGGTTTTTAGGGCGCAAACAGTCATTCCACGTTTGCTCACTAGGATCGTTGTGAGCGACCATCTATGGAGGAATCACTGAACTAAGCTACACGCATTGTTGGTTGCATAGTTTTGTGAGGCTGAGTGATCCGTGTCTGTAGTTTTTATCTCTGAGAAGACAGTTGGTTGAATAGCAAGATTGCATCTGGCTGATTATGTTTATTGGTCTGCATATGTATAAACTCAGTGATATTTGCTGTGTGAGAAAATCATTACTGAATATACTGAATATGACGGGCTATTTATATGATGTGCTTTCTGAAGAGCGGATATGTTCAAAGTTCTAAATTACGAAAAACTGAGGAGAATTACGGGAAATCATCACCGCGCCCGGGTTGTGTGTAATTACTGTTAGTGTGTATATGGCTTGTACTTCGACAGTGTACAGTGAATATAATTAATTCTGATCTCTCTCATTTTTGAAGTTCAGTAAATTTGTTCATGTAATTTCCAGAATGTATAAGAAAAAGTGGCTGCGCAACTACTTTCTAGCTTTGAATCTCGATTAAGTGTATTTGAGACATGAATCCAATCGACCGATACACTGCTAGTGGTGGCTGGTATCCCGCCGATCGATTTGCAGGATGAGGTTGGATGTTAGTAATGGTGAATTATTCAAATGCAGAAATGGCGGAAATGCATTACGTACCTATATGGCCTTGTCGACGGTAATGGTGGGCCAGCCAGACGGATTTATCCGCAGAGATATCCCGATCGTGCTTTGCCAGATAGTCAAACCTTTTCTAATATTCATCGTCGTCTTGTTGAAACTGGTTCTGTCTGAAAAGGGACATCTTAAGACCTCTAAGTGTACGAGGATGATCGCTAGGCTCTTAAATATTTGCCATCAAATTGTTTGGAGAATTTTAGTGGATTTTTGTTATATCCTTGCCATATTTTAAGAGTACAGGAATTACTTCTAATTGGTTGTCCACAATAATCATTTGTGAGCAGAAGAAAATCCCTATGCCGTAACAGAAACCCATTTCCAACACCAATTTTCGGTTATCGTATGGGCAGGAATTATTGGCAACCACTTCATTGGCCCATTCTTCTAGCCGGGACGACTTGACGGACAGATTTACGTCAATTTCCTTCAACAACAGTTGCCTTTGCTGCTTGACGATGTTCCGTTAGTAATAAGAAACAATATGTGGTACATGCATGATGGTGCCCCAGCGCATTTCAGAGTAGCGGTTCGTAATTATTTACAAACTGTTTATCCAAATGTTGGCTAGGCCGCGGTGGGACCCAAGAATGACCACCAAGGTCTCCGGACCTCAACAGTTTAGATTTCTTTTTGTGGGGCTATCTTAAGACACTAGAGTACACAAGTCCAATTACCACTGTAGAGGAATTAAGAGAAAGAATAGTTGCAGCTTGTGACAGAATAAAGAACACTCCGGGGATATATCAACGAGTGCGCAATTCCATGAGAAGGAGTACGGAAGCATGCATACTAAGTGAAGGGGGCCAGTTTCAACAATTTTTGTAATCATTTCGCTGGTTTCAATGGTATGCTAATGTTGTCAGTTGTTGTTGTTCATTACCCCTAATGTGTTTAATTTTTCCAATTAGATTAATAATAATTTTGCAAGTTAGACAATAGAACGGTTTTTATTTTTTTACTCAAATATAGCGCATCGAAGGAAAACAATTCAAGAAAGATCATTTGTTTTAAATTGAACGGGGAATTCAAAAATAATTTTTATTTGGCACAAAACTATTGGCGTACCATTTTTTCTCAAAAAATATCCAAGTCAATACCCGTACGCACGCCACTTTTAAAGCTACAAATTATTTTTGTATTGAAAAATATGCAGCTTTATCCACTTCCATTACGTACTAAATATCGATCAAATATTTGAAGCGGTTCTGAAAATATTAATTAATTTCCATTTTTTTCCTAAAATTTCAACACCCCGAGTTTTTGTAAGGAAACATTTTTGGACCATAGTTTATAAAGCAAACTAAGATTAATTTTTCATGTATATTCACACCCTTAAATATTCGCATATCATTAAGGAATACCCTGTATATAGATATTCTCTAAATTTGACAGTTTCCGAGCTATACGCGATTTAATATTTAAAACAGTGAACGTTATACCATTTTAGATCCCATAGTGAAGCAATATGATTTTAATGTTGCCAAAGTTACTAAACACTCTTCGAACATGTATTCTGTGTGATTAGTGTATTCAATTTGATTCCCCAAATACCTAGGTATCTTCTTCTTTATATACAGCGAGAGTTTTTAGTGTGAGCTGGGTCGATAACTCCGTTATTACGCATACTAATTAAAAAAGTTGATGTTAATCACCAAATTGTAGCTAAATATGTCACTCTGTACAGGGTGACCAGTAAGCACGTGGTGACCTGAAGTAATACTTTTTATTGCAGATTTGGATAGGTCCTATCAAACGAAGCAATTTGATATAACATATCATAGGGTTTTATTTTCGAATCGTTGAGGTATTGGACAAATTATCAAAAAATACTCAAATTTGATTACCCGTATCTCCGCAACACTAATAGCTAGAACGCTGAATTTTTGGTAGGAAAGATTTAGTTCCTATCCACTCACTTTTCAGTTTCTTAGACGGTTTATAACGCAAAACGAACAATTTCTTGAAATTTTTTACTTGAAATTTTTACCACCCTGTATACTTTCACATTCAGTGATTCCCTTTCTACAAGTTTTTCTGGATATAAGGTTTATGGTTTACGACTGGTTTTTAAGTTACAAGTAACCCTTTTGAAAATCAGATATCAAGGCAAACGAGAAATATTACCTTTCAAAATGGAAATAGCATTTAGCTACTAACAGCGATCTTTAGAATTGATAAATTTTCATTACTCGTAGATTAAATCTATCCAACCTCATGCAATAAAGTCGAAAAGACAAGACAAAAACCGGACATACGTACTCTCGTAAATCTGATCTCACAAAAAAATGTGAAAAGAGGAATAGGGAAAGAAATGTGATAATCTACAGAGCAATTTGAAAATTTTGAGAAGTACCTCATTCTGCCGCTTTGGACTATCCTGTATATACTATCCAAGAAACTGGAAAGGCAAGTAGATGGGGACAAAATGTGAGATCTCATTTTTTATGTAAAATTCAGTAATGTTTTGGATTGAGTGTCCAATATCTCAACAAATTGAAAAAACCCTATAGAATCTCATATAAAATTGGTTTCTTTGAAAAGGCCTGTTCAAATCTAAAATAAAATAATAATAATATGTCTTTATTTTTTAGTTAAAAGAATAACAAGGAAAAAAAACTCATTTGATGAGGGAGGCGGCATTCAATATAGTTGCTCTTCCATGCAACCCCCGGAAATAATACTAAACTAACAATTGGAGAAAAATGATGGGTTTAATTAATACAACAATAATGAAACTATTGTACACTTTTCACATAGGATTTGACTCTGTTTCGAAAGCTGCTAAGTGAGATCGAAAAATATAGGGCTTCTCTTTGAAAAAAAGAATGTTTGGGTCACCACGTAGTTATGAATCACCTTGTAAAAATTGAAATATTTTTCAAGCTCGAAGATACTTTTGGCTGCAATTGTTGTGATTAACTTTTTCAGATACCATGCGCAATGACGCAGTTGTCGACTGGGAGCACATGAAACACTAACTTTGTACAGTATGATATCCGAGAAAGACTGCGGCATGGTTTTATCGTCGATTTTGAAATCAACTGTCGTGCAAGTACCAAAATCTCTACCGCCAGCATCAGTGCGGTCTGCCATCGCCCCACTCAACCTGTAACCATCAGACAATACATACGTTTTATTTTGCATTAGCTGTTACCTGCAGCTTCGTACGTTTGAAACTGTTACTAACATAAAAGACTGTCGATCACGTTTTGTACCTATGATGGCATTAGTAAATTGACAGCCAATTTGCATGTTTGCGATGTTTGGTTACTTTATTAGTAGCGATACCTCTACGTTCCGCAAGCAGAATTGCGGGACAAAATGCTGGTTTTCCTAAATAAATAATCAATTAAGTAGTAGAAAATACGTCAACATTTACACCACTGAATATCCTGCTAAATCACCTACCATCCACGGTACTATTAAAAATCAATTTAAGAAAGTGTTGCAAGTTAATCTGTCGGTAAATCCCACACATAAAAATGAATTTCCATAACAATGGTCTTTACCCTAGAGACACGCCGAAATTTGCACCGTATGTAAAGTGCTACCAGACATTTCGGGGAGTATCTATCCTGGGGTAGCTGGTGCACACTATGGTATTAGCAAAGTTGAATGTTGGAATAGTGTCAATCTAGAAGGGGCTAGGAAATCGGACAGTGGCGGAACAATAGAAAAACGGTATAGCGGGATTAGTCCCGGAACTTCCGGAATTTCCGCTAATTTGAATCGGAGTTGAGAACCGGAGCCGCAAATCCTTTTTCTAATTATTTAATTACTTAAACACAAAGCTTGATAATATAAATAAAGTTCTTAATGAAACTATGAGTCTGAATTGAATCAGCC